ATTGTATGTTGTGTTTTATAAGACAATTGTTGGATATCTTAATATATATATATATATATATATATATCTAATAGTTTTGTTTTATTATATAATATTAAATCCAAAGACAATGTGTGTGTGTTTTAAAAGTTTTTTTTCAACAAAAAAAAACAAAACAATAACATATAAAATGAGTGTTAAAAACAATAAAAAAATAATAACTAAATACTTGCAAATAAAATATTATTTGATAAAACAAAATATATATAGATCTCATGTTTAACATGTAGTAAATCATACAATAATATTATTATTTTAATTTAAATAAACAAAATTACTAAAAACTATGTTTTAGTTAATATTATTATTTTTTGGTGTCATTAAAAAACATAGAGAATTGACTTTTATTTTTGATATTATATGATAATAATTATTATAATAATAATGGGTTTAATTTAATTAAAAATTATTTTTCTAAAAAATATATATCTTTTAAATAGATATAATAGTATTAAAATTATTAGACAGACTTATAGAGTAATAATTACAATAAAAATTTTGTATAAAATATTAAATACTAATTAAAATAAAAACATTATAATAATACTTTAATAATAATAATATCATTATTAAAACAATTAATTGCAAATACCATTAAAATTAAGTATAGTTCATACAAATGGATAGATTTATTTATTATTATTATTTTTTAATTAAATAGTTAAATCATTTGATAATCATAAAACTAATTTTTGATATATACATTAGTAGTAGTATTAATACTGTAATATAAATTTGTATATATTATAATACATTAAAAGTAACAAAATTTACGATTTTTTAGTTGTATGTATGAATCTAAATGAATGAAATAATTATATATATATTTAATGATGATATAAATACAGTATAGTATATATACAGTATATACAGTATATACAGTATAGTATACAATATAGTACAATACATACAGTATAGTATATATATATATACAGTATAGTATATATATATATATGTTAAAAATGTAATATTATATTATTATTATTAGTTTTGTTGTTGTTTGAAAAAATCAGATATGATTATATAATATATGAATATAATAATACTATAATAATATGCTAATAATAGTAATAATAATAATAATACAATACATTAATAATATTGTCTATTATGGTCTACTAATTTGCTAAAATATTATTATTACATGTATTATATATACAGTGTATATGATATTATCATACATTTACAGCAACCAAAAAAAACTATATGTTTGTTAGTTATAATGTTTTATTTAATGTTTAATATTAATATATATACTGTATATAATTTAATGAATAATTTTTAAAAGTTTTTATTTGTTATTTAGTTTTGTTTTGTTTGTTTGTTTGTTTGACTGAAAAATACCATTTTTGTTACCAATTTAATATACAGCTAATAATATATACATTGTATAGATATGAACATAAAAATTGAAATATAAAATGTATAATAAAATCATATATTAATATAAATGAATATATTTTTATACAACAAAAAAAAACAACATTTCATTTATATTATAAAAATTTATATAATCATTGTGTGTGTTGTTGTTTGTATTGTAATCATGATTATGATTATTACAGTATTGTTATTATTATTATGACTGTATTTACTACAACTACTACTACCACTACTACTACTAGTATTGTATATAAATGTTATGATTAATATTTTATTAATATACTGTTTATAACTTTATATATATATATATTTATATAAATCTTTTTACACTAAAAGATATACTATATATAATACTAACTATTAATATTATATTTTTGTTTGTTTGTTTGTTTGGATAAAATGAAATGATATGAATAATTCAACTGTTAGTTGATATGTAATACATATATATATATATACAGTATATATATATAAACTTTAACTATAAAAATCCTAAACACAAAAAAAAACTATTAATGAATACACAAAATGAATACTAAAAATGAATGAGAGATGACTTTATTGAAAGAGAAAGAAAGAGAGAGAGAGAGTTTGAAAGAGAGAGAGAGAGAGAGCATGTATTAGCTATGATATTATTGTTGTCGTCATCGTCATCATCATTGCCTTAATGATGATAAGGAGTCATCTATAAGTTATTATATATATATATATATATATATTTGTGTCACTAATATAAACTATTAGATATATATATATATATATATATATATATATATAKAGAGAGAGAGAGAGAGAGAGAGAGAGAGAGAGAGAGAGAGAGAGAGAGAGAGAGAGAGAGAGAGAAGAGAGAGAGAGAGAGAGAGAGAGAGATATAATGTATTTAGTTATGTGCATTAGTTATACTATGATTTTGTCACTAAAACTATAGTATATATATATATATATATATACTGTATATACTGTATATGTCACCAAACAATATATATATACGACAGTATTATATACTAAACTCAACTATAAAAACATTATTATTGCATAGGATTTTCAAATAGGAAAATGTCTTCAACCGATACAACACAACATCAGTATTGTCTCCATACTAGTGCTCTCTTTCTCTCTCTCTTATCTATGCTATCAGAGCCCATATATTGGCTTTCATAGCACGATCTCTCTCTCTCTCTCTCTCTCTCTCTCTCTCTCTCTCTCTCTCTCTCTCTATGCCTGACTCTATGTGTGTATCAAAAAGCATATCTTTGTTAGGTCTCTATTGACTGTAATTATCAGACTTAACGAGACTTTTGGAGTCAACTATCCTTTAGTTTATTATTATTTATAAATATCTTTGTATTTAATACAGTATTATACGGTATATAACTTATCTATAATCTATAATCTTTAACTTTATATATATATTAGATAGGTATACATTGTATTTATATGTGTTGTGATTAGATATAGTTTGAAAAGATTTTAATAATAATAATATTATTATTATTTTATAATACATAATATACTAATTATATATTTAGTTAAAATTAATTTAATAATGTTTTTTGTTTTTTTTAAAATAAATATTTTGGTAATTAATTTTAATAAATTATTATTATTATTATTTATGTTTTTAATTAAAATAAAACAAAAATTATCGACAAAAGTTTAGTAACATTTAATTATATAAACTAATATATTACTATTCAAATAATTAGTATTTTATAATCTATCTATTAATAATTTTTAATAATAATAATCATAATTATGTTTCAATTTTAATAATAATATCTAACGTCATGAGTGAGAGAGAGAGAGAGAGAGAGATTGATATATAATACTAATGTTTTGTTTCAGTAGTCTATGAATATAACATATAATATTAAATTACATTTTGTGAAAAAAAACAAAAATTTAATCACAAAAATCACAAAATTTAGCATTTAAGTATAAAATTTGTATGAATACAATACATATACTGCAAACACGCACACACATATACACACATATACACACACATATACACACACATATACACACATATACACACACATATACACACACATATACACACACATATACACACACATATACACACACATATACACACACATATACACACACATATACACACACATATACACACACATATACACACACATATATACAAACACATATACACACACATATACACACACATATACACACACATATATACAAACACATATACACACACATATACACACACACATACACACATATATACAAACACATATACACACACATATACACACACATATACACACACATATACACACACATATACACACACATATACACACACATATACACACACATATACACACACATACACACATTGATCTTAATTAAAATTGAACTTTTATTATTATAATTTATATTATTACTGGAGTACAGTATTATAACATACATAAAAATAATAACAAAAATTTAATGATGATTATCATTATTATTATGGCTTTTAATAGTGTCTCTAATTTTAGCATTATAGCAATGGTTGCAATACTATACAGTTGCAAAATTTGCAAAAAAAAATTTGGTGTATATATTAATATATAGCTATATTGTATAAAATATAACAATGATTTTTAATGTTAATGTTGATATCCTAGTGTGTGATATTATTGCATTTTATAAGTTATTTTTCATCTAATGTTAACAAAAAAAAATAATAATAAATATTTTACTTATGTTATTATTAATAGATATTTATATGATATTAAAAATTTTAAACATTTTTATTTGATTTTGTTTGTTACTGTATGGCAGACACTGGTGTGTGTGTGTGTGTGTGTGTGTGTGTGTGTGTGTGTGTGTGTGTGTGTGTGTGTGTGTGTGTGTGTGTGTGTGTGTGTGTGTGTGTGTGTGTGTGTGTGTGTGTGTGTGTGTGTGTGTGTGTGTGTGTGTGTGTGTGTGTGTGTGTGTGTGTGTGTGTGTGTGTGTGTGTGTGTGTGTGTGTGTGTGTGTGTGTGTGTGTGTGTGTGTGTGTGTGTGTGTGTGTGTATGTATGTGTGTGTATGTGTATGTGTGTGTGTATATATATGTGTGTGTATATATATGTGTGTGTATGTGTGTATATCTATGTGTGTATGTGTGTATATATATGTGTGTGTATCTATGTGTGTATGTGTGTGAATAAGGGTTGATGGGTTAGGATGGGATGTACGGTAGGAAAGGGATGCTATAATTATAATCTACTCCTTGTTCTCTCTCTCTCTCTCTCTCTCTCTTTCATTGTAAAGCCATAGACGGGTTGCTGTTGTTGTTGTTGGTGTGTTAGTCAGTCAGTTGTGTTTATCCTCTATGGGTCTCTCTCTCTCTCTCTCTCTCTCTCTCTCTCTCTCTCTCACACACACACACACACACACACACACACACACACACACACAGTATGTATGCAATTCATCAGATAATACCAGTAATAATAATAATAATACAGATTTTTTTTTGGCACACATACAGACCTGCTCTCACACTTTCAAAGATTTTATTTTTGTTTTCTACAGTATAGGGGGTTAAACACATACACACACACACAAACAGTTAGGTAACACGGGTATGGGATTATGTGTGTGTGTGTGTGTGTCTATATATTTTTTGTTTATTGATGTGGTGCTCATCCACCAGCACTAGGATGTGATATGTGGTGGTGTGTCGGGACATATGTGTGAAACAATAATAATAATAATAAAACTAATCATTTCATATGGCTTTGGATAGAAAACGATCGCAAAGATCGCCGAGGATTAGTAGTAGTGCCAGAAATCGTGGTATCGATGCTCATGGAGTAGGAGGAGGCAATTTGGCTACAGTTCCCGAACATTACCAGCACCAGCAGCTCCAGTATCAACACCACCAACAACAACAACAACAACAAGTAGACCGACGACCGCCGGTAACCAAATGCAAGACTTGTTGCCGAAAATTCTTAGCATTCCTCGTCTCAAATGTCGGTCTGTGTGTACTAGTAGTGGCCTATTCAGTAGGCGGTGCCTTCATGTTCAGGGCTATTGAGGCACCGTTTGAGGTACAGACAGCTAAACAGGTTACCGATTTGCGTAACCGGACTATACGTCATCTATGGAATATAAGTAATGATAAAACAAACAATATATATATATATTGTATGACTTTCCCCACACCTACACCAACACCAACACCTACTGTCTAGCTATACCCCCCTCTACAACCACACCTACTGTCTCACTATACCCCCTTTGCCCACACCTACTCTTTCACTATACCCCATACACCCACACCTACTCACTCACTATACATCTACACCCACACCTACTGTCTCACTATACCCCCTCTACACCCATACCTACTGTCTCACTATACCCACTACACCCCCACCCATCCCAGCCGTGTGTTTGTGTATACTGTTTAGTATGTGATATATACAGTAACTTTCCTCTAGACTTTAGTTTTTTTTGCTCAATAATCACCCGTTTTTATATATATATAAGTATTAATATAATTACTTTAAGTACTTTTAGTTTTATACCCCCATTAATACATAGTAAAAATGTATGTGTGTTTGTGTGTGTATGTGTTTGTCTATGATTTTACTTTACAGAATATTTTTGTTATTATTATTTTAGTGCAAATATAAAAATAAAATTATATATATATATATATATATATATAATACCATTAGTAGCCCATTAACCCTTAATGTGTAATAATTTAATAATATGTTATATATATACTGTATATTTTTACTGTATATAATCTATATATAAAACTTATTTTTATATTATTTTCTTTGATGTAAATTAATACTGAATTTTATTTTTATTTATTATAAAGAAATTTTATATATATGTATATTGTTACWTAYAAGTTAGTTACATTAACAGTTAATTATTATTTATTTATTTTTTTTATAAATATAAATATAATTATATATATTATATATATAAAAAATATAATCATATAATTTAAGGCAAATTACTAGCACTAGCAAAAATTATAAAGATAATTTTAGAAACAAAATATTAATTATTCAATCAGATTTATTAGTTAATTAATAAATTAATAATTTTTTTTTAGTAAATTTAAAAAAAAACTATATAYTTATTAACAATATATTATAATAATTACTAGAAATTTCAATCTATTTATTTATTTTTTAATTAAATAAATTTTGATTAAAGTTTTATAATGAAATTTTTTTTTACTAATTTATTTATAAAAAAATTATTCCTAATTTATTTTTAAAAAATTATTTTATTTAGTATATTATATTATKTAGACTATTATAAATTATCGACACAGTCWACCCCTCCCCCACTACCCATCACACCCGCCCACTCCCCCGTCACTAACCACAAAAAAAAAATCATTATTATTAAGTGTTTTATCATTTATATTATTTAATTATTATTAATTTTTCAAACAATCATAGCATACAATCACAATGTGTTCAACTATAGTGTTTGGCGTCAATCGGTTATCCAAGAAATCAAATACTTTCAGACGGATCTATTGAAAGCCATCAAAGATGGCTATGAAGGACAACAGGACACCGGTCAGGAACAGTGGTCTTTTTCCGGGGCCTTCCTGTTCAGCCTGACTGTCATATCCACTATAGGTTTGTTAGTTTTTTTTATGGCTTATCCATCCATACATACATCCATTGATACAATTATTTTTGTTGTTGTTGTAATATATATTATATAATAGTTTTTGTGTTGTTGTTGATTGGTTTGATTATCCGTTCAATTTAACTCATATATCATTTTTATCATTTTTATTTGGTTGGGGTGGGGGTAGGGGTGATCTTATAAAGTCCAACCCTCCCTCCTATCACTCCCCYACCACTAGCTATGCTCTCTCTCTCTCTCTCTCTCTCTCTCTCTCTCTCTCTCTCTCTACTAAAGCAATTGAAATGCTCTGTTGAAACCAAACAAACAAAAAATAATATTATTGATAATAAAAACCAAAAAAAAAATAATAATTACTGTAATTGATTTTAATTGATTGATAGATATATAGATGTATATATAKAGAGATATATAGAGAGAGAGAGAGAGAGAGAGAGAGAGAGAGAGAGAGATAAATGATTAATCAAAATAACAAAAAAATATTTGCTGTGTGTGTGTGTGTGTTTGTAGWGTATATAATATAAAATGTTTTTTATTGATATTTATTTTTTTGTTGTGTGTSTCTATCTGTGTCTCTAATTAATCGACAATCAAAGTACTTAATAATAATAATAATAATAATACCAATAATTGTGTTGTTTTTTATATATATATAATATAATATACTATATATATAGAGTTATTCCGATTCAATAGTTAATATCAATTTGATATAATCTATATATATTGAAACGGTTGGATGGGTTGCTTAAGGTGTCCGGTGCTGACTCGACGTTATCGGCATCAAAGTGTTGTCGGTCCTAGCGTTGAGTCGCAACAACACCTATGTAGTCGAGGACATCTGCGACCAAAGTATGCATCTCGCGTTGAGCGGTGATGGCTTTGATGAGCCAAACAATAAGCGGTGCTGCGACGGTCAATGAGCTGAGCGGTGCTGTAGGCCAGTGTTGAGCGGTGCTGTATCGGCCAAAGAGCTGAGCGGTGCTGTCGCCCAAAGTGTTGAGGTGATGGTGTTGGACACGGGAAGGGAACACGAGACTGACACGGCAAGAGAGCCCATAGATGAAATGAAGAGAGAAAGTAAGAGAGAGATAGAGAGAGAAGAGAAAGTACGGGCCAAAGGCCCAAATGACTTACTCGGGACTTATAACCAAAACCGAGATTTATTTAACACATAAAATAAAACTAATACAATGTGATACACTATACTAGTGTATCGGAGAGTTAAGTGACGGCAACCGACCAGTTCAGGAGTAAGACAACTTCTGTCGAGCCTTTCGCTCGACTGAGAGCTCAGCAGTCTGATCGCTGCATAAGCCACTGCCTATTGCGCGCGCAAACTGTTAAACTCTGCATTTATATTTGATGACTACTTTTACATATACTACTACTTTGCTCTTATTGGTTAATTCAAACTCTGCCTATTTTTGATCAGTCGCACACTACCACCTAAAGGCAAATTCTCATTTGCATTAAAATACAATACACAAGTGCGCTTAGAAATTAATTAATTCATTAATGTTAAAGTATAGGAAACAAAAACCCTTGTTAACCCCTGTATATAAAATGTTTAAACCAATGGTTAAATAGTATTCACTGAAACGCAAGTGCGTCACTACATTTACTGACACTATACGTGTCACAAACTAAACCTATATGTTTGTATGTTAAAGTATAGCTAATGTTATTTCTATGGCATAATTATAATAATAAATGTGCCGCTTATGTATTTTCTATGGGTATACTAAACCGTGTTTTCTATTACTAAATATGCCGTTAATGTTATTTCAATGGGAATACAAATCTCATATATTACTATGTATTTAACACTGCTGTCAAAACATACAACTATGCAATACATAATTTGTAATAAATATATAATTTGAGTACATTTACTATTGTTTTAAGTGATCTATTATTATTCCGCTACATTATCCCTCCTTTTTTCGAAAAAAGGCTTGTGTCCTCACAAGCGAATGGTTATATCTTATATTGTCTTACAATCACAAACCAGTGGTTGTCTTACAATTAATTTGTTACATACAAGCAATTAATAACATGAGTTCAAAATTAAATTAAAATTAATTATTCAGTTACATAAATAATAAAATCATTATATAATTAAAAACCATAATTATATAAAACAGACCATTAAATCAGCCAATGAATTACTGTCACCTGGCACATATGAATTGTGTGAGAGTCAACCGGTATATTCTTTCTGGTTGAGAGCCAGTCCTTAATCCATCCATGTTTCCATTATTTGTCCACAAGTAGATAAGGTACGGAATATACGTGTTGTTTTATCGTCTAAATGGTTACATAAAGTCTTAACTTTTCCGGATATGTAAGACTATATGGAGGCACTAGACAACCCCTCACTCATACGGGGACTCGTCACTGCTGAAACAATACCGGTCCAACATCAACTAACTTGTCGACAAAAACTCCGCGGTAAAAATTTTCAAAATTGTAAACATAATTGTTTTATAAATAATTGTCATCACCTAATAAAACCATTATACCATAAAGAAATATATACGAGTTAGCGGTTATAATTAATTATTTGTTGTGGTTAATTGATTTGTCTCATCAATGTTTTCCAGGTCATCAAATACTGTATTATCATCACTTTGCCATATTTCATAGTCATCCAGATCTATCTCATTGTATTCCTTCAGATCCTTGATGTTAGCTCTCGTTGTATGACCAGTATTGATGTCTTTGATTGTGTAAGCGTTATTAAATTTGTCAATAACTTCGTAAGGCCCGTAGAAATTATTGATCAATTTCTCGCTAAGTCCTCGCACACGTCTCTTGCGGTATAACAAAACCTTGGCGCCAATATTAAATTCAATAAACCGGTGATTTTTATCATAATTTCTTTTTTGTCTTGCTTGTGCATCTTTAATGAACTCTTTAACCATAACTCTGGCCTCTTGAAATCTTATTTGAACTTCTTTTGTATCATCAAAACTAGATGATAAATTTAATACATTATCAATTGGAAGTCGGGGATGTCTTCCATAAAGTAAATAAAAGGGACTATTTCTTGTAGATTCTTGTTTAGCGGTATTGTATGCAAATACTAGATAGTTAATAAATATATCCCAATCTTTTTGATTTTGATTACAATAAAGTGATAGCATATCTGTAATTGTTTTACACTGTTTCTCTGCAAGTCCATTACACTGTGGATGGTATGGTGATGTCTTGATGTGTTTTGTATGCATTATCTCATATATTCTTTCAGCTAAATCTGAACAGAATTGAGTTCCGCGATCTGTTAGACAACACATTACTGCTCCATGTCTTAGTACTACTGAATTTATGAAAAATTCAGCGACTTGTGGTGCTTTTGAATCAGGTACGGCTTTAGCTTCAACCCATTTGGTATAGTGGTCAATCATTATTATTATGTATTTGTTACCATTATTTGATTTAACCAATGGACCTAAGAAATCCATTCCAATAATTTGAAACGGTTCTGTTGATTCGATTGGTGTTAGTCCTCCTTTTGGTAAACCATAATCATGTTTTCTTGATTGACAGTCTTTACATGCTTTAACGTATTTTTTGATAATGTTATTCATATCGGGAAAGTAAAATCGATGTTTAATTTTAGCCATTGTTTTATTACGTCCTAGATGTCCAGCAGTCACATCATTATGTAATGAATAAAGTGTATCTTTTAATAAACTATGTGGCAAACAAACTAATTTGTTTATAGTGTTATTAATTGTTTTTATTTTAAAATACAAAATGTTGTTTTCCAATATGTATTTATTTGTTTCCTTGTTCGGCAAATTAATCAAAGTTTTGATTATTGATTGACACCACGGGTCAATTTGTTGTTCTTCAGATATGTTAACTTCAATGTGATTAATGTTATAAAATTGGATGTTTTCATCAACTTTAGCTTCATCAGCTAATGGGTATCTTGAAAGCGGGTCTACGTTTGTGTGAGTTTTTCCACTTTTGTATTCAATTGTCATATTATTAATATATGGTTGTAATCTATTACACCATCTCATTAGACGTCCATTAGGGTCTTTAATTTTTAACAAATAACATAAGGCACAGTGATCTGTTTTTACTGTCACTTTACATTTATAGAGATATTTATGGAACTTTTCGACAGCCCATACAATAGCATAGCACTCTTTTTCCGAAGTTGAGTAGTTTTGTTGTGCTTTATTGAAGGTACAGCTACTGTAAGCAATGACTCTTTCAAGTCCATCATGTATTTGACAAAGTGTAGCACCGACTCCATATCCACTTGCATCTGTATATAAGATATATGGTTCATCTTCTCGTGGATGAGCCATGATGGGCGGTGAAGTTAATTTTTCAATGATTGTGTCAAACGCTTGTTGACACTCGTCTGACCATATGAATGGTACATCTTTTTTAGTTAAATTAGTTAGCGGTCTTACTATTTTTGAAAAGTTTTCAATAAATCGTCTGTAGTAATTTGCTGATCCTAAAAATGATTGTATGTCTTTTACTTTATTAGGCCTCGGGAARTCTTTCATTGCCCGAACCCTTTCTGGGTTAGGAAGAAAACCGTTACGTCCGACAACAAAGCCTAACATTTCTATTTGATTGCATATTAATTTACATTTTTCTGGATGTAAGCGTAAATCATATTCGTTTAATCGGTCAAACACTTGACGTATATGATTAATGTGATCGTCAAAGTTGTATGAATATACAATAATGTCATCTATATAGACGCATACAAATTTATATAATAATCCATTTAGTACATTTTGCATATATCTTTGAAAAGTTGATGGCGCATTACAGAGTCCAAAAGGCATAACATTGAATTGGTATCGATTGTTGTCTGCTGTAAATGCTGTTTTTTCTTTATCTTCTTCGCGTACCTTTATTTGCCAGAAACCAGATTTCAAGTCAAAAGTTGAAAATATTGACTTTCCTTCCATTTGGTCTACGAGATCTTGAATAATAGGTATTGGAAATACGTCAACTTTTGTTACGGTATTAAGTTTACGGTAGTCTAAACAAAATCGCATTTTGTCTTTTTGTGGTACCATTAAAACTGGATTATTCCACGGGCTAACTGATTCACTTATTACATTACTTTCAAGCATTTCAGTGACATATTTATTAATTTCGTCTTTTAATTTAATAGCCGATGGATAGTTGCGTAATTTTATTGGTTGTGCATCTCCAGTGTCGATTATGTGTTCAATACCTTTGGCCGTAAGTATGTCCGAAGGCTTGAATGCAAATAAATGTATATAATCACGTAATAATTTTTTAACAGTATTTATTTCACTGATGTCTTCAGTTTCTATTGTTATACTATCAATTGAGTTGTTTTGCGTTGTATTGAATAAAATGAATTGATCGTTATCATAGGTGTCCAATTCTAAGTAATTGTTGAATATATTGGTGTGTTCACTCCAAACAGTATTAAAATCATTATTAAAGTCTTGAATAAGCTTAGTATAAAAATCCATACCAAATAGTATTTCTTCTTTTAGATCATTGTATACATAACACTTGTGTACAATGWATTGTCCATTCAGATAAAATGAAATAAGAGCATAAGTATTAACATAATCTGTAAATCCATTCGGTAATACAACGGTAATTTTATCACAATTGCTTTGATGGAGTTCATGAGTATTAGTGAAATTACGGTTTACATAAGAAAAATCAGAACCAGAGTCAAAGAAAACTTTGATCTCATTATCATTGAATATAATAGGAAAATATAGTCGAGTTTTAGTGGACGGCTTAATARAATATAAATTAACGGATTGTTGGCCATCTGTTTCAACAACCGCCTGAGTTAGTTTTTTGATTTCGGTATAGTTTGATTCAGTTTTGGACAATTGAGTTTGTGATGTCCTGGTTCACCACAATTCCAACAGCCATCTCTCGAAGGTCTTAATCTTTCAGTGCTTTGAGAGTCTCTACGTGTTCGACTATTGTCTCTGCTGCCATTATTATTTTGTTGTGTACTTGGTTGTTGTCGATGATTATTATTAAAGGAACTTTGTCTACCACGCCCATTATCATTGTTATAATTGTATCGTCTATTGTAGTCACTGCGCTCATATTCGCCATATGAGTTATTACGAGACCTATTATTATTACTCGGTCCCTCATTGTTGCGTGTCCAGTTATTATTACGTGACCAATTATTATTATTATTACGTGACCAGTTATTGTTATTACGTTGCCAGTCATTATTATTTCGGTTACTTTGAAAACGTACTTGTCTTTGATTACGATCATAACTTGATGATCTGTTATTATTGTTACTGTTGCGGTTACTGTTAAGATTTCGTCTTAAACTTTGATTTTGCAGATCAATTGATTTCTCATCATTATAAGCATCTATAATGAGATTTGTTAACTCTTTGACATTATTCGGTTTTACGATAGCCATTTTATATTTAATTTGTCGATATAAATTCCCACTGAATTTATTGAGAATAGTAGCAACCATTGTCGGAAATGAGACGTTTTTATCTATTTTATACCATAAGTCGATTATCTCGTACATGAAGTCTTGAATTGTTTGTTTGTCTTCAATAAATACAAGATTACTTAAGTCAATTGCGTAGTTAGTTGCACTTTTAGATGATCCGTTTAGGTCACTTAGCTGTTCAACTAAGTTATCAAATGACACGTTCGGTTCTCTTTCGATAATGTTTAGACACCAGTCTTGAGTTCTACCTCTTAGGCTCAAAACCAAGTCATCAATACTCTCGTCGTTGTCCAATCGCTTTGCTTTTATCGATCGTCTAAACAATTTCATCCAAGTGTCAAACTCTTGATTAATACCAGTGAATGGTTCGATATGTGGTGTTTTTCGACTTCGGTTTGAATTAGATGCGATCGGCTTTTGTTGTTCGTCTGTTTGTTGTCCATTGTCATATTTAGGTTGTCCAATTGAGCTTCGGTCAACTAAGCTTTGGTCGTCATCATTGTTTTCACGTCTCGGGTTTGTATAGATTTCGGATTGTGGATCAACACTTCTATCGTCTAATTCACTATACGACATAACACGTCTCAATGTAGTAGTCATTTTTAAACAAAATTAAAGTTAACAATTTAGTTAATACTCAATTGTATTGTTGACTGTCTGAGAGTCAGAAACTGAATGTATTTTAAATATCTTTTAAAATGCTTTAAATAGGTTTTTATTAAATTCATTAAACAAGTTTATAAAGTTTACAAAAGGTTAAATGTCTAGACATATAAAAATTTTCCCGTAACCAAAAATAAAACAAATTKWAWTTATTATTTAAAGTAATTAAATTCAGTTTATCAAACTGATGATACGTGACGGTCTTTAACGACAGATATCAGAGCAAATCCGTGGCTATTGACTTTGTCTAGACATAGTGGTATGCGGTCGTACTTGTTTCTCGGTTTGCGAATCCAGTCTATGTCATTGATAGGCGTAGTTATTCCTTGAAAGTCATGTATTTCTGGGTTATTGATCTCAAAAAGGTGTATATACTCATCAATTTTAAATATTTTTGTTTTCCCATCTACTTTTATATGCCATGGGACAAGTGTATTAACGACTCTTAAATCATTTAGCTTTTTGTTAGACAAAACCGTGATAGAAGATAAGAGTTCAATGTTTTCGGTAACGACTTCGCATATATTAAATGTTTCATGAAAAATTTGAATATTTAAATTCCAATTTCTGTGGGAACGAGAAGGTAAACGTCCGAGATAATGAGTGCTTATAGTCTTTCTTTTGAAGGTTGTAATGATCATAATTAATAAAATTATCAATAATGTACTAACAATAGAAATGTCAATTATTGTTTGAATGTCTATTGAGAATAAATCATAATATAGATCAAACAGAGCTGCATTTACTCGTCTGGCCATAAAAACTTGAAAACCAGCTGTTCGTCCAATAACTCGTGTATAAGATAATACTCCAAATATAACAATTAATACAAGTAAAAATTGAATAATTCCATTTACAGTCCAAACTAGGCCTTTAAGTGAAAATGCTCCGGTATGTCTTTTGCTTATGTCTTCTACATTTTGAATTGCATTTGCAAGATTTTGTTGCATAGATGATAAATAATTAGAAAATTTAGTGAGTGTTCCCGTATCCCAATTAATTAAAACATTGTCTTTATTTTCATCAAATGGTCTTATGTATGGTGCAGTGATATTCGGAAAAAATATAGTCTTTGCTTGTTGTTGAGTAATATTAGACATTTCTTGTATCATTTGAAGTATTTCTGAATGAAATGTCAGTGATGTCATATTTATTTCGGTACGCAATGGCTTATAAAATGGTCCTCTCAATACTCGTCCAGTATTAGGAAATGAAATGTCACAACCTTTGTCTAGACTGACAATTTCAATAAACTCTTGAAGAGTTTTTCTTTCTGAGCGTCTGTTATAACACTGAAGATCGTATACTGGTATAGCATTTTTGTGTAACACGTACCGGTCACTTCCCATTGATATCGGTTGATATTCAGCTGATGATCTCTTTTGAATATTACAGTGTTGTGCGATTTTATCTTCATTCCAATTAAACAAAGCGGTACTACATTCTCTTGGTTCAGTAATTTGATTGACAGCAAATGTAAAACAAATGTACTGGTGATTGATGTATTGACAATTTATAAATTCTGGCAATACTTCATACATTAAGTCTGTTTCGTCTTCATTTACTAACCAAAGTGTATTTTGGTTATTAAAACTCAATGTTTGTTCATTTCCTGTTTCGTTAAAACATTGCTTAGAAAAACAAGTGAATGGTAGAAATGTTGGTTTAATTATAGTATAAGATCGAGGGTTTCGAATACGGACCAGTGGTATTCGAAGAGATATGTAAATTTTATTTGAGACTGGGTCTACGGCACTTGACACTAAAGGTAGTGTATAATAAAGGTTTTTCTCATTTCTTGGTATACCCAATTGAAAATTGTTGTCAAATGTTTGTTCAATGTAGTTAAGTATTCGGTTTAATTGTTTCCAACTTAATAAGCCATGACTTAGACGTCCTGTGTTTAAAGTGTTGAAAATGTTTTCATAACTTTGTATTCCATCCAATAGTAATATTAATTGATTTTGTAGTAAATTATTTTCAGATAATCTAAAATCATTAAAAGTTGAAAAAATGGCAACAAGTGCTATTTTGTTATCGATATATTGACCAAGTTTATTGAGACTGGTATACAAATTTTTTACTTCTGATTGTGTATAACTTTTTAATAAATTTAGTTTTTCATCAAATTTGTTCATAACGTCGGCAACCTCATTTGAAAATCCAATAAAATTTTCTCCTAAGACTTTGATGCTTTCAGCGGCAGTTTTGAGATCTGCTTCTATTTCATTCACTCTCTCAAACATCTGTTGTCTGTCATGTTTAGATCCAAAAATTTCAGTTATTGTCCATAAAGCAAAAGCACCAACAGCGATAGCTCCGATAGTTAGACCAAAATCTCTTTTCTTTCTGTTTCCCGATATTTGTCTACTTTTGAAATTTTGCAAAGCTTTTTCGGCGGTAATTTGAATTTGTTCCGTGAATTGATTTATACTTAATTCAAATAMTTCACATGTGCTCTTTAAATTATCTTTAAGTTCTGCTGTAGTGTTGTCAGCATCATTTGTGTTAACTGTTATTGAATTTTGCATTTCATCACAAATTTGTGATTTACTGAATGTCGTCAATTTAAAATTATGAAAAGGAAAATCTAATTTTATAAAATGTAAAAATTCATCGGTAAATGCATATAGTTTACCATATCTTGTGAACTGTATACCATGAAAAGCAGTAGTTTTTAAATARTCAAAATTATCAAACTTTTTGTTTAAATTTATTTTAGGGACAGCRTATTGATTAGTGTCACCAAACTCTTCATCTGAATTTGTGTAATTAAACGCTACAGATTCTTTGTATGTTATATCTGGTAGTTTTATATTGGATATTTGTACTTGAAATTCTTGGCCTGCATGAAAGTGTTCGAATGGATCTGGATGTATTAGGTCATCTCCAGTTTCTTTAGGAGTAATAGTAGTCGATTCTTGTTGAATTGGTATCTTCGAAGTGGCTTTCCATTTTGCAGCTCTTTCTTCATTAATTTTTCTTAACCTATGCAATCCCACAATATCCTGTGAACCATCAATATAATCGTATCTATTAGACAATAATCGCCGACTGTTAAATGTTACAAAATTGTGTTTAAMCTTATCATTTGTTGTTTTGGTGGATATTGCATGTGGTTTTAATGTTAAACATAATTCTTCAGTTATTGACGGYTTTATAAATTCRGTTGTTGTTGTAGTCCAATTAWAAGTAGTAAWGTTGTAGATGGTAGACAWTWTTTCACTAGTAATCGTTTCGGTAAAATTACTTGTTATTGTTGTAAAACTTGTARATATWKTAGGTACATAAGTAGTTTYTGTTGATGTAACTGKTTGATTAATAGTTGTTAATGTGGGAAYAAAWGATGTAGCTGTTGACCATAATGTYGCTGTYGAAGTAACAATATTCTGAGGTAATGTTATTTTWTCTGTTTTTCTTTTTGWTGTAGTTATTGTRGAAGTTGTGGTATAATTAATTGGCGGTAAAGTAAYTGTTTTRGTAGTTTCTGTAGTAGTTGTAGACGTATAAGTTGATACAGAAGTAGATGTAATGTTAATCGCAGGTAAAGTAATTGYTTCGGGAATTTTAGTATTCGTAATTGTTGACGTAACTGTGACATTTTTGGGTGGCTTTGTAATTGTATCTGTGAATGATTCAGTACTTATAGWTGTAATGGTTGAAGTAATTGTTTGATTTTCAGTTATTTTATCGGTAATTGTTGTCGTAGTTATAGTTGTCAATTTTTCTATTGTTTTGGTAGTAGTCTGGACATTAAATACTGTTTCAGTTTTCGTGGGCAAAATAGGACAGACCGGATGTACATTAYTTGTTATTAATTCCGTTGTCAATGATTTAATTGTTGGATTTAAACAATTGTAGGCCAGCAATGGTTTTGGMGCATAACTAATKGTTCCCTCTTTTAAATAAATGGTATCATCGGTAGTGGTTACAACTATTGTGTTATTAATTTTGATACCATTTCTATTAATTGATCGTAGTTTATTAAGTAGATTAACAGATTGACTACATTTATACAACGTAGAACTTGACATATATGAATAAAAGTTTATCGCAAATATGGCCGGAAACGTAACTTCTTTGCAGTCATCGTCGTAAACTCTAATAATTCCATATTCATTTTGATTAAACAATGGTTCGTAGTGTCGGTTTTTATGTAGTATAATGTTTTTGTTATCATCGGTAAYGTCTCTATCAGTTAGGATCATTTGTCTGTAAATTATAGTCCATGGATCCAATCGTGTTGGTATTGTTTTACTTGAGTGAGACGTATTATTTSCATATTCACCACATTTAAAACGTTGGCTTTCGGTTACATCTAACGTATAAGTCTTCTTAATGTTTTCGGTGGATACGGACAAGATGTCACATCGGGTATTTATTATAAGTACGGTGTGTTGGTCGAGAACCGTCTCCACTTCATAATTAGTGTTCAACGGAAATGTTGTTTCATTTGGAGTGTTTTTAATTTCAATATAATCAGTACGCACACAATGAATATTTGAAATAATTTTAAACAAAATTAAACAAATTAAAAACATTTTAATTCACATATAAGTTAAAACATAATAGCGAATTAATGGTATAACAAATACAATAAGAAAGACTGTTATGAACAACAGACACATCTTAAATGAATTAATTTTATGTTTGTGTTGTATTAAATAAAGAAATTATAATTATATTGTAGGGGAAGTGGGTATATTACGGGTATCTAAGTTTGTCTAACCTTCCTTATGTAAACCAAACACTCGGCAATACACCACTTACCTTACGGTTTTGACTCTTTTAGTGATAACTTATAGTAATGCGTGGCTTAGGAACGAGCGGTTTCCTATTTAATCTACTCTGACCAATTAGGTCTGTAGCCATAATGGGGTCTGTCACCCAAATAGGGTCTGTCACCCGAGTAGGGTCTGTCACCCAAATAGGCTTTG